TATCGATTTAAATGACACAAAATAAAACACTGAACTAGTGTATATATAGAATACAGAAAATGATGAAATGAGAAAAATAAGAAGAAAATACTAATCTTTTTAACAAATCATCAGTGCTTTAATGAGGGTGTGGGCTGCGAGCATAGATACTTACTCCATCCATCCCCACCCACACCCACACCCACACTCTTCAACAAGAAAATGAGAGGAAGATACAACTAAAGAGCACCGGATAATGTCATTAAAGTTGATTGGGAACGACATCATCTAAAGGATAAGAGTAGGTGACATCAAGCATATTATTATCGTGATTTTATCCCGGCTAAGAGAATAATCAGATAACTTAGATTTCTGCAGATTTATCTGTTATGGTTATGACTACTATAATAGAATCAAAACACGATATTTCTACATTGCTATAGTGAATCCCGAAAGGAGCGCTCTGCTGGTAATTAACAGTGTTAGTGCGACACTATATATAAAAGGGAGGGGGGAGGGGGAAGCTTTCGAATAATAAGCTACTGCTACGCGTTTTGATCTAGCTGAGGATCTTTTGGGGCGACTCAATAGTCTACATCAATTCCAATTTTATTTTAAAAAATCCCATCGATTTCTAAATAAAATTTCATTGTTGCCCGAACTCCATGCACAAGTTCTAGCTAACGAAAACAACATGTGGAGAGAACACAAATGCAATAATCCATCCATTCATGTTGATATTGGCAACGCAGAAGGCATGAAACATCTAGATGCATACCGGACTACTATGACGAGAATAAAAAGTCTACAGTGCTATCATTTTATTCGATATATTATTTTTACTAGCGATTATTTGATTCAATGATATTGTTTCTCATGAATAAACGAAAATATCTTTATCAAATGAAGTTCTGAGATACTTGCAACATTTATTTTTCTATCGATGTTTCTATCTTGTCTCGGCTTTTTCTTGTAAAGAAACTTTTATTCATGTGGCATATGATCTGACCTTGAGATTACTTCGTTAGTGAACACTTTTCAAGGAAAACAAATTTGTTTTGAAGAATGCTAATATTTTTCTTGAAAATTCTTAATCAGGAAAACACTTTTTCGCTGAACAATATTTGTTATTGTGGATCTGGATGTGTGTGTGGGTGTACTCTTCCATCACTCCTACATCCACACCCACATCTCAGCTTTGCTTTAACATGACATTAATCAATACGATTTTCAATGCTTTTCTCTTATGATTGTAACACAAAGGTATTGCTGTTGGTATTAATTTAATGATAATGCTAAGCCGACATCTTTATTCAAGAGGAATATGTATGAATACGATGGTAAGCGACAATGGTATATAGGTCAAGACCTAGTCATAAGCATAGGTCCAAATACTATAACCAGGTTCGACCATTGGAAGTATTATTTGAATGATCGCGATTTCGCTTAAGAATTACAAAAAGAAAATCAAGAAAAATCGTGATTTTCTACGAAAATCAAAAACAAAATCGGCAAATATTGCCAGTTTAGGCGATTAACCGAGCTATTAAATCGCGATAAAATCGACGATTTTTGCGCGATATTGATGACATGGTTAGTGGCATGTTTCAAAGCATTTCATCTATGGTATAAAATGCGTATAGCACCCTTTCTACTATTCAGTTGTCAAATGATCAGATTGTATTTTTTTCTTTCATTGAACTTGTGAAATTAGATTGTTCCGATACAATGACAACACCTTTGTATACGTCCGACGTTGTATTATTGAAATGTTTTATCATAATCTTCTCACTGCTAGCAAAATTATACTGAGATTAAAATCAATGTAGGTGTAGATATAGTGCTCTTATAGATGAAGAGAAAGCAAACATCTACACCCATACTCAATATCCTCATTTCAATAGTTTCGCTTCGATTCAAAAAGTAGTGCTTGTTTTGACAGGTAAAAAGGAAGAACATGACTAAAAAATACATTTTCATGCTATGCAAAATCTTTTTTATTCTACCTCGCTTGCTGACATTGAATTTCGTTTTGATTGAAACGAGTTCTTTTTCTGAATGATTGACAAATATTGTTTTTGGCAGGTCCAATATGTTTTGGTTTATTGACTTTAATAATCCAATCAATGGTTCAAGAAAAACAATTTTTGGAAATAATATCTAGTCAAGTTTTCAAAACAATACATTCTCACTCGCAACAGTGTCCAAATAAAAAAAATCAACATTCTTGATACATTTTCTAGATTTATAGTTCCACAACTAAACACATCGCATTGTAACCAACAAATCGTCATAAAACTCTACATGCCATTAAAAAAAAAAGGTTATAAAATGTTGAGAATGATACGCATACTTGTTGAGTCTGGTAGTTATATATAATGATTCTTTTACCATGAATTTAGAGAGAATGTCGATTTTTAACTAGTCTATCGACACTTTCGCTTGTTGTCTATAATTTAGGTCATTATCTCAAGATTCTTGATATTACGAAAACCATTTGTGACTCCGAAAGTCAACATTTATACTTCTCACCTAATAAAAACCTTACATATATTAAGATATATAATTCAATACGTAAATGTAGAGATTGATTAGTATAAAAGTACAAAATACTAGATATATATAGGGTTGGTGTAGATGGGAACCGTTGTTCTCATTATGCACATTTATACGCACAAAACCGTGTGAGAATTGTTCGAATCTCAATGAATTAAATGAGACTATTTATCATTGATATATGAATAATCTTGAAGATGATTGACTACCTTTCATCGTGTAAACAATTATTTATGTCTCTGCATGAAATTTCTCTGTGTGTAATATCGGAGTCGTACTAATTCAGATTTTTCTTTTTACTTAGTTTCACAGGTAATGGCGCGTATATTAGCATTGATCTGGCCTTGAACTTTGTCCACCTTGCCCTTTACTGCCATTCTTACATTTATAATAACTTTAATAGTGTGCAATCGAGTTCAAAGTAATATGGGGGCCAGGAAATGGCTGTCGTGAGTGTGGAAAAGCATTCTCATATTCATGTGATTAGTGCTATGGGCATGTTTGAATTCGTTTCATTTTATTGTATGGACCATACTGCGATTGTTTTTCAACTTTATAAGTACCGATTGGAAGTTTCTCATCATTCCAATGTTATTCTGCTCGTCTGGTTTTTTGTATCTACTCTACTAATGGTAGTCTTTGCTAGTATGTGGATCTTGACTGGAAAGAATATTCCTCAATATATCGCGCCTGGTATACATTTTCTCTAATGTCTCGGCTTTGTGCCACACTTTTGGCAACAAACAAAGATGATTGAACAAATTTTTGAATTACTTTCATCAATAAAACGATTCAAATGAAGTTGCTTTGTGAATATTAATACTACTGCTTAAGTAAAATAATACAAATTTGTATCACAAAACTACTTCTGAACTTTTGTTTTTTTTCTCGACTGCACGAAGTCAATATTTCCAAAGTCCTAACGAAAAAGGTGTGAGTGTGCATGTATGCATAAGATGTGAATATACAGTGAGTGTAGGTTAGGATTTTCTCTCCACCTGCATTTACATATGAACAGTCTATGTGTCACTAATGAGAGTAAAATACACGAACGAAATGAGAAGAAAGAATCATGTGCAGCACTTATGAATTTATAGAAATTAAATGAAAGTGAACAGAGAGAGAGAGAAGACAAGATGGATAGAAATAAATCAATAAACAAAAATATATATGCTAATAGCAACGTACACAAAAAAAGCGCAATATGATTTGGAAAAATAACGTAGGCAATGAAGTTTTGTCGAGATTATATTTTAGTAACACTGTCTATCAACCAATGATTACTAGGGCAGTATTTGGAGTGCTACCCAAGTTTGACAACCAAAAACTGATATTATAAGTTGCACCGACTACCGTTGTAAAAGATTGACTGAGATAATCCAAAAATCCTACTGAGCCATCGCGGAAACTATGGCTGCCTGAATGAGCACATAGTGTCGATATGCTACCGCTAGAAGTGGCTCCGCTCGGATTACAATAACGATAATATTGAGTCAATGGACTCATTTCAAAACCACCATTTTGCCATAACTGTACCCCGTTGTATTCGACTGAAATGTCATCTAGACACCAATAGCTTGGATCTTGACGGAAAGCTAGCATCATTGTTGTATTAGTCGATGTGGCAACAAATGAATATTGATAGTATGTATAAGGATATGGTGCCATATTTGAAAGATAAAGTAGAGTAATGACCGTACCAGTCACTATTGCCGTGCATGTATTGTTCAAAACAGCTAAATCAAAATAAAAGAATGTTTACATGTAAATTTAAACATGATCCCAACTTTCTTATTTGAGAATGCACCGATATTTTTTA